CGTTGTCAAGCGTTCCTTCCATTACACCGATTTTTAAACAAAATTTTGTAACACAACTTTGCGTGACTGTATCTCATTAACTATTGAATCAAATAATTTAAAACTTGCATCACATGTAGAGTATTGAGTTGTGAATAACCCCCTAAAATGGCAGCACAAACGAATCAAACGTTCTAAAATGCGAAGCGAGTCTCGAAACTTAATTGTTCGGTATATATTATTTCTAGTCTTGCAAAGAAGAAGTGTAATTAAATAATTAATAGTGTACGTCTTTTCATGATCAAGAATATTACACATTAGTTGTCTAGTCTTTTCTCTTTTTAAAAAAACGTCTAATTCTGCAAAAAGTTAATTGCATCTATAAATTAAAAATTTTTCAAATAAGATTGGATTTAATGTCATTTTAAGGGGGTATACCTGTTTGAACCTTCGAAAAATGAGTACATTTTCTGATGTTTTTGCAGCGCAACAATTTGATAAAAATTTTTTTTACAATATTAATACAATATTATTAAGTACCTAAATAACAATTTTCAGTTTAAAAAATTTTTTTTTTGAAGTTATGCGAATATTCGCAGATTTATGTTTTCATGTACGACATGAGAACTCGGGCTACGTTCGTTCGACGGATTGACTTCAAATTTTGCATGCGAGTTCCTAATAAGATTCCGCATCTGCTAACGAAGCCTTTTTTAAATCCGATTTCCTATTTTTTTGTTATAAACAAAAAAAGATGGACTTTTTTTAGAAAAAAAAACAAACTTTTCAACACGCCGTCATTTTTTAAAATTTTGGAGAAACGCGTGGGTAGCAGATAGCTATTAATATGTTTAATAAAAAAAGTTTGTATTTTTGATTTCGGATATGATACGAACGTTTTGATGCACAGCGTGCAGCCACCTAAAATTTGGAAGAGCTCTGCAAATATCCCCATAACCTTAAAAAAAAAATTTTTTTAAGCTAAAGATTTTTATTTATGTAGTTAATAATATTGTATTAATATTGCAAGAAAATAAAAAATTTTTTCTAGTCATTGCTCTGCAAAAAATCTAGGAAATGTACTCATTTTTCGAGGTTTCAAACGGGTATGCCCCCTTAAATAAATTAATTTCTTTCTCATTCTCAGCAATCTAGCCAAAATTATATCCACTAAAATAAAATAAAAAAATAAAATTTTATTTTATGTTATTGATTGATTCATTTGTAAATATTTATCGCTAACAAATATCGATTCAATAATCAAGTAGAGATTTAGATTTGCAAACAAAAAATGAATAGTTTTCTTCCGTGAAAAAGATAAAAAGTCTTTCTGTTAAAAAGACATTATTATATTTTGTGTTGACAAATTCCTGTGAATTTAAATGGTAACTGAAATATATTTGAACAAATCGATATTAGTCGTAGGTAAATAAATTAATTCCAAAAAAAAACGTTTTTTTTTTTTTAACAAGCTGACGTTTGCTGGAACAATATCTTGTTCTAATTAAAAAACATATGACAAAGCTATTACTATTTAAAAACCATTCCTATAAAAAGCATTTTAAGAATTATTTTTCAAATGGAAAACAAAAAATTACAATAAACCTAATATGTATTTTTTTTAAATAAATAATTTTTGAATTTTGTAAATTTTCATATAATCTCTTCTTATTTCTGTTTGCTCATATATATTTATATTTGAACCATATGTATCAGTAGTAAGGAAAATACATATATACTAACTGTACTATTTGATACGTTTTCATTTCGTAATGATGTTGTGGTGGTGGCAGTAAATCACGTTTTCGAACTCTTAGCATATCTAAATCTCGCGTGTAACCAAGTGCGAGCCGTTCCCATCTATTATATGCAGGAACATCACCTAATGCTTTTGAGTGATCCCGTGTAGATAAACACCACTGTAAAATTAAATAATAAATACTTATAAAAAATAAATAAATAAATTGTACAATTTTGTTGACTTATATTGATATTAAATTCAATAATTATGTAAAATGTATATTTTCCCACATTTTCAATAAATATCTATTACTTTAATCAACTTAATAAAATAAAAATAAATGTCACTCTGACTTAAAGAATCCAAAGTAAATCCGGTTAAATAATTATGCACGCACGTGCATAATTACATATATGAAGCATTTCGCGGTTAAACGTTTTAACGTTTTAGCTTCGATCTTCTGCTAATCAGATTTGTTTTTAAATAATCTCAGGAACCTGTATTAGCAGATGATATGCTGATTCTAGAATACCTTGTGCGTGTGTGCGTGCATGCGTGCGTTATATATAGTTAATTATTTTATTGTCTCAAAAGAAGTCACACACACAAACACAAACAAACAAACATACACGCACGCACATATACACCCACACACACATGCATAAATATATGCTTCTCTCTCTTCCTCCCCCTTTCCCCTTCTCTCCTCTCCCCCCTCCTTCACTCTCTCCCTCCCTCCCTCCCTTTGTTTCTCTATCTTAAAAAAATATTTTATTATTACCTTAATTTGTTTAATTAATTGAGTTTCAAGATTTTCGTAAATTTGATCATCTGTCCCGCACGCGCCTTCCAAAAAATCCTCGGCAGATACCAATATAAAATTTTCATCTTTCTGACATACATTAAGTTCTACTTTTTCAAGAGGCGATAATGGGATCGAACTCATATCGACAGGCAATCCAGCTTTGCTGGCTTCAATTAAAGGTTGTATCCCTTTAGCTTGCTTTAGATAATCACGCGCCAAATCCATATCCCCATCTTGCTTTGCATTTAAAGCAGCTTGCTTCAATTCGCGCTGCCGTAGTTGTAATTGTATCATTTGCTTTTCTGCACGCGATGTAATCTTGTGCCTTGGTTTCTCCCCTAATAAAAAATATAATACACATAAATATATAATATTATACAAGGTGGCCCACGTAAAGTGTTACAATCTAATAACTCTAAAAATATTTGTCAAATCAAAAAATTGTTCAGTACAAAAAATACATTGTAAATAATTACACTTTTTCTTAAAAACAATTTTTTTTTTATGCTATTTGATTTGTCTCATTATTCTGTACATAAAAGTATTACGGTAAGATTATCGAAAACTAAATATTTTACGAGATATTTTATTTTTTATATCAAAATATGTCAGATTAAAATATAAAATAACTCAAAAAGTACTTAATAAAAAAATACTTTATTATAGTGTTTTGGAAAGCTCTCGGGATAAGCTATAAGAATATGTAATAAAAAATGGGGAGTTCCATTTAAGAAAACATCGACCACATTGACCTCACCTTGAAAAGACCACTTAAGGTCAAATCCATATTTTTATCATGTAGCCCCCTCGAAACCATGCAACTTTTGTCTGAAACATTTTTTGATATCTCACTTCGTTTCCGAAAAATATGGCGTGTCACTATAAATGCCGCACCCTGTATATATCATTATTCTTTACCTGCTTTAGGAGAAGGGATGGGTGCTTTTGATGGCACAGGCTTTGTTACAATGTTATCTTCAGATGACTTAGGCTGAACTACAGACTGCGCAGTAATATCTTTATTTTGTGAATTAGATAGCAATGGTGGAAAACCAGGCGGAACAGGAAGTTCATCCAGATGTACTGGCTTTCCATTTGTGTATAACTTAATAGCGTTCTCAAACTGTTTGCAAATTCTACTGTATCTGCGTATTTTAGAAGTATTACCCTCAGCTTCGGCAGCCACTTTCGTTCTCCTATATACTTCCAAACGTTCTTTAAGAGCACCTTCAATGTTCTCGAGACCGAGCTTTGCTTGCGAGTCAGCTATCAATAATCCACGTTCCCATTATTATAAAATACATGTTTTTTTATTGCATACTACACAACTATAAATTTATTTTTATTTATGTATTTATTTTATTTATTGTTGTTTATTAAAAGTATACAAACAGTTATTTTGCATGTATAAGATAAAAAATATTAAAGGATAGAGTACTGAGAGAGACAAATTCAGGAATATATATTACTCGACTTTTACTATATATTATTATATATTGTATTTCTTCATTACAAAAACACAAATCGATAATGCATAGATATTTACAATATTCTTAATAAATATACATAATAATCTTTAAAAAATTTCGCCTATTATGTATACATTACCTGTATCTGTAGAAGCTTGCTGTTGAATTTCGCTTTCTTCTTTTACCATTGATGGTATAATATCTGCTGGAGAAGGTAAAGTTGGAGTAGATGGCATATCTGATAAATCGAGCTTTTCACCCGCAGCAACTGCAGCAATAACTATGTCGAATTGTTTTACAGTTTTCACATACTGCAGTGCTTGCTCTTTATTACCTGCTTTCTTCCAAGCTACTGCAGCAGTCTTATATTTTTGCTGTTGCTCTTTTAATTTATTCAAAGCTTCCTGATCAACCGTGGCATCTACTATTGGTTCAGAAAGGCCATCATTTAAAACTGCATCTGATGTAGCAGATGATTCATTAACTTCAGTCGATGAAGATATTCCCTTTACTACAAAAAAAAAAAATAGATAAAAGATAAAATAAAATAAAATAATATTCATAAAATGAAAGTTAATGTTACAAATCTCCAAATAATGCTTAAAAATGACAATACACCATTATTAGGATTTAATTGAAAATGTTGAAAATGTTTATTATACAAATTAAATTATTCAATGTAAATATCTAAATAATAATGTATGAGATAATTCATGATTATCTCTATAAAATTATTTTTAAAAAAACTTTTTTTTAAATACATATTTCAAAATATTTAGGAAGTTTGCAAGTCTGTTTATATGCCCTATATATTGATTGTATATAATACAAGATCAATTTTCTTTAAAACAGAATTTGATCCAAAAGAATATATGTCCTACCTGTATCTTTAATTGTAGATTCTGCAGTAGCAGAAGGAGGCAACAATGGAGGAATATCAGTTTCATTTATAATTCTACCTGATTGTACAGAAACCAACATTGCCTTGAGTGTTCTTACACCTCTGTTATATCTTCTAGCCTTGCCAGATTCATTTTCTTTTCTTGCCATTTGTTCGGCTATTTCGTAAGTCGTTAGTCTTTCTTGCAATACTTTGGTTATTTCATACATAGAATTATTTTCCTCTGTAGTAGATTCACATTTATTAGATTCTGCTTGTTCTTCCTCCGTTATCTCTGGCATTTCCGTCTCTTCTGTCACAATTTCATTTCCTGTGAGCATCTGCAATTCTTTCTAAAGCAATGCAGAATACTAAATTGATCAAGCCTTACATTACACTATTTAAAATATAATATAATCAAATATCACGCATACTAATAATGCAGGATCATCATTTCCTTCAGATGAGTCATCATCAGAATTTGTATCCTTTGTAGATTCAGCTATCATTTCATCCAAATTAACGTTGGTAACAGCTTTGCGTGCAACTATGACATTTACATATGTATTATGCAGATGCAAACATGTAATACAGATTGTGTTGTTTTCAATCCAACAGTTACAATATACAATGTCCTAGGAAAAACTTGGTAAGATATTTCTTTATTCAAAACATTATCAGCAAGAAATATCACAAACATAAATTAGATTAAAGATTTTTACCAAGTTATAATCATTAAACAGCAAATGTCTTTTATTTAATTTCATGAGCATAATCTCTTTAAAATATATGTGTCTCTCTCTTTAATAATGTTTTCAAATAATCTTGAAAAGAAATTTTTTCATTAAAGTTTTCATAATTGTAATACAAAAAAAATTAGCAAAACAATACAAAAATTTTAAAAATATCAAAGAAATGTTGGAAAAGTTTAAGTAAAAACTATGGTTTGGTCAAACAATGAAATGGCAGACATACATCTCATGTATGGATTAGCCTACGGTAATGCATTTCAAGTTAGAGCTAGTCATTTTGAGCACTTCCTGTAACCGTAATTATCTTAATTCTGTTGAAAAATAAGACAAGCTATAACTTGAAAACACGATCATATCGAACATATGTTTATATGAATTTTTTCTCTTATTTTTGTGTCCTGAATCTCTCATTGCAATACTTCCATCTTTTTAGGATACACCTTGTATATTGTGTGTATATATAAACTTGTGTCTATATAATTTTATTATATCTTATAGATATATATTTATGCTATATATGATATTTGTAAAACTTTATTAACTTACTGTTGCGCCTACTTTTGTAGCCTGTATCATTACCAGCTGCCAAAGCAGCTAATTCAGCCTCTAAGTCTTCATCGTTGCCATCATTTTCTATCGTATTATCATCAATATTACCTATATTTATATCAGGTACTTGGAAGATACCATACTATGAAATATCATTCATGAAAAAAAAAAATCTATTAAAAATTGACGTTTTTATATTTAAAAAATAAAAATAATTTAAGAAGAGAGATATTTCTCTCTTTCTCTCACACATATATATATAAAACAGATATTTCTTAAAACAGAAATAAATATGCAATATAGATGTCATATTTATGTGATATAGATATGTCATATTTATATATTTGAAACTGTAAGAACTAAATTTATGGTCTAAAATACAAAATTTGCGAATTTGAAAAAAACTTTAGTGTGAAAAAAATTTTACACTGTATATTCATTAAAATGATTAGCAACCTGTTCTAAGTCATCAACTGGCCTGAGTCGTCTCGACTCTTTTTTCTTGCCAAACATATTAACACGTTAATATGTTTATTTAATGCAAATATGTTTAGGAGTTCGAAATGATTCGAAGAGAGAATAAAACCAAAAATCCAGAGGATTAAACTATTATTATGAATGATCACACTCTCTCTATTACACTATCAAACATAGACGTAATAAATATAAGCGAAAAGGCCAAAGTCGCACATGACAGTTTTAGGCCGATATTAAGGGCATTCTACAATGGCAGTAACAAGGCTGTAGGAGTAGGAGAGTATACTTTTAAGAGCAAATGGGAATTGCCCATTTCGTTACTCCCCGTCAAAACATCACTAAAAACAGTATACTCTCCTACTCCTACAGCCTTGTTACTGCCATTGTAGACGGGCCTTTACATTTGTCGACAAACTTTTTAAGCATATTGATTGGCTGCAAAATAGAAACTTTCTTGAGTCTCTAGAAATTAGCTAATCAATGCGCTTAAAAGTTTGGGCCGTGGCACATAGAAAAACTTAAGCAGTAAGACTTAAGACTTAAGAATTTCAACCATACGGAATTTTCAGGGTAGCTTACGTTTCAATATGGCTGCCTTACTGTTCGACCGTGATTGGTCAATTCGCTTACGTCTTAAGTCTTACTGCTTAAGTTTTTTTATGTGCCACGGCCCTTTGTCGTACGACAAATGTAAGGGCCGTGGCTTCCATTTATATATGTTCTAAGGGGAGGCCTATGTTTGTCTCTTTTCCTAGCATCTCATTGGTGATTTTCTATATGGAGGGAGACAAAATCACCAATGAGATGCTAGGAAAAGAGATAAAATAGGCCTCCCATATAGTACCTCTCTTTCTACAGCGGGCGCGCGTTTTATCTATTTCACAATGCTCAATCCAGTCTATATATCTATGGTTGGGGTTAATATACCCTGTATCATACTTCAATTTGCCGGCAGTTCTTAAAATATATATAAGCTATTTTCTATTTCAATACTTTTCTATATATATATATGTATTGAAATAAAAAATAGCTTATATATATTTACTGGGTATACATATATATATATTATATATATATCCTAGTCAGCCACATTTGTTCCAACAGATATTGCCAAGTGCTTGCTACAAATTATTGTCAGCAAAAAGGCTACAAATTTGGTACAAGAGTTGTTATTACCGATTAAGCTGGCAGATTGCCGGCAAGAACCAAGCAAAGCTTGCTAACATAAATAGACAGCAAATTGGCGGCACTTATTCTTATATTATTTATTTATAATGATTAAATAAAATATATATTTATTTAATAATAATTATTTATAACAATTAAATAAAATCCAATGACTTTGACCTTGACATGTGTTGACAAGGTCACTGTCCTGAGTAACATCCAAAAGATTTTAACCGTCGCTCGCTGCCCACACAGAGCTACATATCTAATCGATATCTACTGGATATCGACATATCCATATCTACTATGGATAATCAATAGATATCTATTAGATATCAAAAATATCTATATCTCCCGTATGGAAAAAATCTGAGACGAGCTGCTATCGACACTATTTCTGATCTGCTACTTAAAGTAGCTAAGCCTTGTATACCTAAGGAGTTTTGCAGAAAACCCCGTTCCTTGGAATATATTAAATTCTGGAAAGCGACAGAATTCA